TCCTAGGGTTGCCGTTAGTGGAACTTGACGACAACGACTGAGATACCAACCGATCTGGGCGGGGTTGTTGTAGCCGCTACAACAACAACAACAACCGGATGCCTGGTCTGATAAACAGCATAACATGGGGACCTATGCTGACTCTATCATCAGACCACCTACCCATAGTCATCTCGATAGATAAACCAACCGACTTTGCCTCCGCCAAACACCGGACCTATATTAACTTTTCTAAAGCTGATTGGAAAGGTTACGCGGAGTTTACCGAAAACACCTTCACAGCGCTCCCCACACCAACCGACGTCCATCTCGGTGAACGTAAGTTCCGCAGGGCTGTCACTGCTGCTGCAGCTCGCTTCATACCGGCAGGATGTATATCGGGCCCACGTCCAAACTTCCCTGCCGAAGCGGCTGTTCTAGCCGATGAGCGTGATAGCCTTCGTCAGGTCGATCCCGGAGATTCCCGTATCAGGGATCTCAACGCGGAGATTCGGCAACTAGTAAACGTACATAAGCGGAAGAAATTTCCTTCGTCGGACCCGGAGCGATGCACGAGCTATTTTAGCCGGCAGTTCATACTGCATCCTCCGGTGGACAAAGCCAAGCGTCGAGTGAGCAAAAGGCTGCACAAACTGCCAACAACCTGTGCCCCCCTTGTTTTCACTTCGGTGAAGTTCAGGTGGCCATCGGGAAGGCGAAAGCCTCCAAAGCCATGGGTCCTGACGGAATATGCATGCTGATGCTGAAAAATTTGGGTCCTGCGGGGGAAGCGTACCTAACGGAGGTCCCCAACTTGTCAGTGGCCACTCTCATCATCCCAGACATCTGGAAGGTGGGGAGAGTGGTCGCACTGCTCAAACCGGGGAAACCTGCCAACAAAGGAGATTCTTATCGTCCGATAACACTCCTTTCCCCGGTAGCGAAGATACTCGAGGCCTTGCTACTCCCGTACTTCACAAACCACTTGACCCCAGCGAAGCATCAGCATGATTTCCGTAAAGTGCACAGTACAACAACAGCACTTAACGCCTTAAACACTCAGATAACTCGTGGCCTTAACCGGAACCGTCCCTGTGAGAGACCGATTCTAGTAGCGTTGGACCTGTCAAAGGTTTTTGACACCGTCTACCATTCCACGCTACTAGAAAGATATAGAGGCCCCCTCTCTCCCACAGAGGCTCAAACGGTGGTCGGCAAGTTATCTGAGTGGTCGACATTCGTCGGTAATGTTTAGAGACAAAACGAGTAAGCAGCGAAAAATAAAACAGGAGGTTCCTCAGGGTGGTGTCCTTTCCCCGCTACTGTTTAACTTTTACATTTCAAAGCTCCCTCAACCACCAGAGGGAGTCTCGATTGTCTCTTATGCCGACGATTGCTCGATCATGGCGACTGGGAATGGAATTGATGACCTGTGTTCGAAAGTAAACGGGTATCTCTCCGAACTTTCTCGCTTCTTCACTGCAAAGTGTCTAGCCCTCTCCCCTACGAAATCCTCCGCGACCCTGTTCACAACCTGGACGAAGGAGGTCAGGCTACCGCTGGGGATTCACGTCGATGACACACCTATTCCGACGGTGAATAACCCCAAAATACTCGGAGTAACATTCGACAGCCTGCTCTCCTTCTCTGTGCACGCAACCGCTATTGTCAATAAAGTACAGAGCCGCAACAAGGTCCTCAAGTCGCTAGCCGGCAGTACTTGGGGCAAAGACAAAGGCCCTTATTATGAGCTGCATTCGATTTTCGATCTTCGCTGGCTATCGAAGATAGAAGATCGAAAGTGAAATTCGTATTATGAGCTACGCAAGCGTGTCGAAATTTTCGTTGAGTATCGAATTTTCTGTCGAACAGAATTTTGCTTTCGATGGTGTAGCGAAATGTTAGAAAATTGTGAAAAATGTATGATTTTGTATATGTTTTCTTACATTTTGGCGGCTAGACACTAATTTTAAACAATTTTTATTAATCTCATGCAGTTCTAACATCGTGAATACTAAACACAAGCTCGAAAGGCTGGTTTAACTTGTGAAAGAAAATCCCATCTTGTTGAGATCACAAAATCGTAGCGCTGTTGATAGTTTTAAAATATTTTAAATAGATTTGGCTCACAAACGGCTCTTTAGATGGTCGGAACTTTTTAATGAATCTGTAGACAAATTTCTTAAATATATTTTATATCAAAATATATTCGAAAGACTAATAAACTTAAACTCTCTTAAACATTTGCTACTCCTGGCCAGTTTACTAAGCTCTCATCCTCTGACGAATCGTTGAACCAGAACTCGTTGTACTCATTTTACCAGGTTTTTATAAACTTGCTTTCTTTTTTACTTCATTTTAATTAGAACAAATTTACATAAATATGTATAAGCTCACTATTTAGTTTGCACGATTTGTAAACAAAGCGTCTCAGCGGTGAAAAATATACTATTGTGAACAACCTAAACGAGCGAAATTCACAATAGCGCTATTCTTCATCGAATGAGCGCCATGATACCAAATGAAAATTCGTTCGCTCAGCACTTTCGACCAAGGTCGAAAATCGGATGCAACTCATAATAGGGGCCAAGAAACGTTGCTGGCAACATACAAGAGCAATAGGCCGGCCGGTTTTAAACTACGCAGCGCCAGTGTGGTCGCCAGGGACTAGTAGGACGCTGTGGACGAAGCTACAGACTGTACAGAACACCGCACTCAGGACTGCGACAGGATGCCTCCTGATGTCGCCCGAACACAATCTACACGGCGAGGCGCAAATGCTCCCCGTAAAGGAGCACAATATAATGCTCTGCAAGCAGTACCTGATCGGGCCCCACAGAAGTGGCCACCCAAGCAGACAGCTGCTTGCAGAGGAGCCCTCGCCTAGGCACGTCAGGTTCAGCAAGCAACCTCTGGACTCGACAGCTTACCGACAGGCCCTGAACGGCATTCACAGGGACTCAGTCTCGAGTTATGTAGACTCTAGACCTGTGAATGCCGTTCTAGGCATACCACCCCCGGACATAGACGAGACAGAGCTTTATCTATCTGCCTCGGGAGACTCGCACAACACTTGCACAACTTCGCTCCGGCTACTGCAGCAGGTTAAACTCCTACCTGAGTAGGTTGAATGAGGATGTGCCGAATGAGTGTCCGGCATGCGAGAGACCCCACATGACTCGAAACATCTCTTCGCATGCCCGGAAAACCCGACAACCCTAACGGCCTTGTCCCTGTGGACAAACCCCACAGAAGCTGCACGCTTCCTAGGGTTGCCGTTAGTGGAACTTGACGACAACGACTGAGATACCAACTGTCCTGGGCGGGGTTGTTGTAGCCGCTACAACAACAACAACAACAACCGGATGCCTCCTGATGTCACCAGAACACCACCTCCACGATGAGGCGAAAATGCTCCCAAATAGGGAGCACAACACGATGCTCTGCAAGCAGTTTCGTGTGGGAGCCACAGATGTGGCCACCCAAATAGACAGCTGCTTGCAGAGGAGCCCTCGCCTCAGGAGGCATCTATATGAACTGACGGACGAAGTCCAGAGGTTCATTAAGCAGCGCTTGGACCCGTCAGCTCACAGAGAGGCCCTGAACGGCATTCACAGGGACGCAGTCTCGAGTTATGTAGACTCAAGACCTGTGAAAGCCGTTGTAGGCACACAAACACCGGACATTGACGCGACGGAGCTCCATCTGCCTCGGGAGACCAGAACAACAATAGCCCAACTTCGCTCTGGCTACTAGCAGCAGGCTAAATTCCTACCTGAGTAGGTTAAATGCGGATGTGCCGAACGAATGTCCGGCATGCGGAGAGACCCCTCACGACTCGAAACATCTCTTCGCATGCCCGGAAAACTCCACAACCCTAACGGCGTCGTCCCTATGGACCGACCCCATAGAGGCTGCACGCTTCTTGGGGCTGCCGTTAGTGGAACTCGACGACTACGACTGAGATATCAGCCGATCTGGGCGGGGTTGTTGTAGCCGCTACAACAACAACAACAACAACAAACTTTTTAAAAGGAGGTGCGTATGTTGTCTCGAATTCGATTTGCTATGGAGCTTTGTTCTTCCCCTCCTCCTGACGGCTTTCAAAATGGAATTCATTTGCGTTCAAATCTTCCACTCTGTAGTAAATGCAAATGTTGTGGAGTGCTCAAACAACGTTTATAATTTCACTGACTTTGAGCGATGAGTAATACAGTTCAAGATGAATTTCTTATGACTCTTCACTCATCTGTAAAAGATCAAACATGTCCCTAAATCTCCGCCTTTCAACTTCCGCATCAGCAATCTGGGACTCGTTCTCCTCTTCAAGCAATAATGCCGCGGCTAAGGATTTCATTCTTAAAATTATGTTTCCACTAAATTAAGAGCAAACGAAATTTTATTTTTAATTACAGTGATGCAAGATATATTTAGTTATTTTAAAATATTTACAAACTTTAACTTCATATGCTTCATAGTTTGGTAGCAAATATTTCTTTGTTTTGTTTCGATTTCACACATTCCTAGGCAAACAGCTGATTTCGAAATATGTTTTTTCTCTTCCTCTTCTTTCGTTTCGATCGTAACGCAGAATACCTAAGTTCGATTCCAGCGGAGCGGAATGCGGAAACGAAATTGAAATGCAGAATATGGCTGATTGATGCGCCTAAAAGATGCAGCGATTTCTGTTCTCAAGTTACATACCTGATGACGGTACGAACGGCAATTATAATAGGGAGGTTTTAGTTTTTTAAACTATAATTTTATTTATTTAAGAACTACATATTACATACATAAGCCCTGTTCGCGTACGCACTATCCAGTAAATCCAGTACTATTTTTTTTTTACTAGATGTCGTTTTCGTACTTGCAAGTTTTACTGGATTTTTACTGGATAAATATTTACTAGCAACTATTTGCTAGTAAGAAAAACAGCTGATGGCATGATGCTTAATGTAATTCACATTAACAAAATAATTGTTTGTGGTGCTTTTAGAGTTGCAACTGACAAAAAAAATATTTAAATATATAATAAGATGGAAAATACTACTTTTCTAAGAAAATTGTATCGGAAAATAACTAATTGATAAGCTGTCCATAAAATTAGCAACTTCTTGCTGGTTTTGCGTTTTCGTATTTTCTTGCATATTTCACTCATTGGGAGTAAATATTGGCTTACTCTCCGAAATTTGGTTACTGGCAAGTTACTGAATATTTTTTGCTGGAGAATACGAAAACGCAGCTATACATATAAGGGCAAATCTAACAAATAGGTGTACCTCCAAAAAAAAAATTTTAATTTGTAAATTAGTGAGCACATCTATGTTTTATATACCATTTTATTCGTATTCTCTTAATAAATCGATTAATATAAGTTATATTCATTTTAATCAAGTGCTTCAAAGGTTAGACGAGGAATAAACATGAAATAGAAAACAAAAGAATAAGCTGGGTTCAAATTACGTTGTTCAAGTTGTAAATTGTGAGCAGGGATTTTGAAAGTTGAACTCGCTTAATTGTTCTAAGTTCAATGGTATCCCTCGTTTTACCAGATTGGCTCCGGTTTTCGAGATAACGGTTATGAAACTATATAACTATTATAACTATTTTATAAATAACTCCCTCAGTATTGAAGTTATTTTATTAAAATTTTCCACATAACGGTTTTTTAATATTACCTTAATTATTCCTTAAAATTATCGAAATGGGTGCACTTTAACCTATAGCTCCAATACAACTGATTACTCAGATATGTGTTTTTGCGCTATAACTCTAACTTCATATCTGATTAATAAATTGTATGCGTGCTATATGTTAAAGTGAACCTATACTAAATGTTTACCTATTTAATTGGACGAGTTATAACGTAATACAGCATCTCTGGACAATCAGATGTATGGGAGCTAGATTTTAGAGTGAACCGATTTCGATGATTATATGAATAGTGAAGGAAATATTAAAATACAAGCGTGTGCAAATTTTTAGTAAAATATCTTCAAAACTGAGAGGTTTTTTATAAAATAGTTCAAATTTAAGCAAAGTTTCAAGCATGATAAAAACATAACAAGGTAAAACCATTGAGAGGCAGTCTGACGTTTGCCAACAATATAATTTTAAAATCAAAACTCAAACTCACACACACATTCTCATTTTCAACCTCAAACAACAACAATTGTGAACAATTTAATTTTTTTATTTTCAATTTTATATGATTTTAAAATGTTGGCAAACGTCAGAAAAAAGTCATGGCCGACGACATGAGAGAATGAATTTACCTTGTAATGTTTTTATCATGGTTTCAAGTACCGCTATCTCCAAAAGTGGAGAGAATCGGGCAAAACTGAAGACGCCATAGAATTTAAAAGGCTCCAATTAAGTAAGAGCAACTATCAGAACCTTTGTCGAAAAAAATTGTATTTGATACCACGCTCGAAATATGCTGACTACAAGAAGGCGCATCATTAAAAGTAGTAAATCAGGGTTTTTACGCACTTCTAAAGAAAATGTTTTTGAAGCATTTTACACTTTAATGTAATTTTATAAGGACTAGTAGTTATCGAACGATTTAGATCGTTTCGACGTATTTTCCAAATGTGCCTTCAATTCAGATATTTTTGGAATAAAAATTACGCTCAAGATCGCAGAATATTTTATCTTTAAAAGTTGGTTTATTCTAAAAGCACAACTCTTGCTAAGGTATCAAATTATTCGTAATTGTTTGTAAACTTAAGAAGTTCTTAAAATTAAATGCTTCAAAAACTATACGCGATAAACCGAAAATTTTGAAAATTGTGAAATGTGGAGTTACAGACCATTTCGTTGTTTTGTAATGCACACTTTTCTTACCTACTACATATGAAGTACATATACACATAAGTGCTAAATGCCCATTAAATTTCAAGTCAGAATATGGTGTGCTTCAAAAGTTGACATAATTAATTTAGCCTCTCTTAAAAATTACATAAAAAATTCACTTGTTTTCATTATTATTTTTTGTTTAATTTAAACACCTATAATTCAAAAGTTATGCAGCAAATTCATCCTATTTTTTTTTGAGGCTTCAAGTATACGTCAATGAATAATATCCAAAAGCTACCAGCTTGATATAGTTTCCAACAGTGAAAATAAAGCTAAATAACACCAAGGCTACCTGTTTTTTAGATTTGCCCATGGAACACATGCAGTTGGGCTCCAAATCTCAAAAACAAAAAAAAATATTGGTATCGATAGATGATTGAGCTGAGTATAACGCTATACTTCTTTTTTTGGGCAAACAACAACAACAAAAATTATCAAAGGTTAAAGTTCAAAATATGCAATTTTTGAAATCAAGATTTCTTAAAAACGGATGAATAGATCTTGAAAATTTTGATACGCAGAAAGGTGTTCTCTGCAAAAGGTGTTCAGAGCCTTTTCTTCATTCCCAAGACAGCCGGTTCTACGTACCGGAATGACTCGGGTTTTACCCGACCAAGGGCTGTTGTTTCGGCGACCTAACCCCGCTTAGATCGGCGATACCCCTCAATCAGTGTTCGTCCATGGAGCAACTCCTTGCAGCCGGGCGTAGAGCCCAAACCCGGACCAGAAACGTATTTCTGCTGTGTTTCCCAGAATCGACTCCATCCAAACTCCACTTCGGTTAGGTGCAACTCATGCAACGGATGGAGTCACCTAAGAACCTGCTCTGGTCTTAGGTCTCATCGGGAGTGGACCACAAGCTATGTGGCTCCCTGCTGCTCAAGCCAAACGGCACAATCAGCCTCCACGGCTACCCGCTCGCGCAACGCACCCAACACCCGAAGAGCCTGCACGGCTCCGAGAAGCTCCTCTGGGCAGCAGCAAACCTCCCAACCGCCACTGACGCAGACAACAGCGCCCCCATTGCAGCCACCTACCAACAGGCAGCAACAGCAAGCGCGGCAGATGCAACAGGCCCAAGGTAGACCTCACTCCTCCCTCACCCCCCGTATCGCGACCAGCCACCAAAGGCATACGAAACTCCTACAACTCAACTGCAACGGACTCCAGAGCAAGATTGAGGAGATAGTAGTCTTTATGGGTCGGCACGGCATATTGATAGCTGCGGTCCAAGAAACGAAGTTGCACAGCAACTCAACTCTATTGGGTTGCGCCGCCTACAATGTGCTCCGTAAAGATCGCGAACGAGATAATGGTGGCGGACTAGCGTTCATCTTACACCACACAGTGCAGTATCGGCTTATCGAAGAAGACATCGACCCGAGGGACACCACCCTAGAATGGTAGGGCATAGCTGTCCGGTCAGGCGATGTCGAGCTCGAAATATTCAACGTTTATATACCCCCTGTCACCTGCTGCCCGGCAGGATATCACCCTGACATAGGTGCGCTACTCAGAGGTGAAAACCGAATGGTAGTAGGTGACTTCAACGCGCACCACGATCTATGGCACTCAAGCCTGGCCAATGATCGTAGGGGAAACCTTTTGGCTGAGCAGATAGACGATTCGACATTCTGCACCATGAACGACGACGCCCCCACCAGGATTATGGGTAGCTGCAGCGGCTCGCCAGACCTAACAATTGCTAGCGCTGGTTTGATCAATAGCGTCTCATGGCGACCTATGCTAACACTAGCATCAGACCATCTACCCATAGTCATCTCGATCAATAAGCCCACCGACTTTGCTCCCGCGGACCACCGAACCTATACCAACTTCAACAAAGCTGATTGGGACGGCTTCGCGGAAGTCACCGAGAGCAGCGTCGCGCTTCGTCGGACCCGAAGAAATGCCCAGCCTACTTTAGTAGGCAATTCACACTGCACCCTTCGGTAGACAAGGCCAAACGTCGAGTGACCAGGAGGCTGCACAAGCTGCCAAAAAACAGTGCACCACTTGTTTTCACCAGCTGTGAAGTGAAGGGGGCCATCGGGAATTCGAAAGCCTCCAAAGCCATTGGACCCGACGGAGTCTGTATGCTGATGCTAAAACATTTAGGGCCTAAGGGAGTAGCTTACCTAACGGAGGTCCTCAACCTGTCCATGGCCACTCTCATCATTCCTGATGTGTGGAAATCAGGAAGAGTGGTCCCACTGCTGAAACCGGGGAAGCCCGCCAACAAAGGAGACTTATCGCCCGATAACGCTCCTTTCCCCGGTCGCGAAGACGCTTGAGGCCCTACTATTCCCATACTTCACTTGCCACCTGACCCCAGCTAAGCACCAGCACGGATTCCGTAAAGTGCT